GAGCTCCGATTTCTGTTTTGATTGAAGAATTAGATCCGTATCGTAATTATGGAGCCATAGCAAAAAGAATCATCGAATTTGGACATTGTATGAGGAGTTTATGGTCATTTTACTAAGAATTGGGTTGCCGGATTTTTCAGATTAATTACGAAATTGCCACTGACTTCGTATTTAAAAATCTGCACTATTTCCAAATATTGAAACTAATATATCTCCTTCGTTATAAGGTCAAATGGAGTGATTCAAGAGCCTAACTTGACTGAACTTTCACATGGAATCCATTGGAAGCATCAAAAGTGAGTTTCAGGATTGTTTGGCACACAAAACGAGGCAGAACACTTGGGCAAAAATACTTAATATCGAAGGTTTGTTCATTTGGTCATATTTTGAGTTGCGGAGCTCGGATGTGGACAATTTTTGGAGGCGATTTTCACTATATGGATTGGGTAAGTGTTATAAACTCGATTTTGGTTATATTTCATGAATCCTTTTTCATTTTTGGCATTTGATTGATGATGTCAAAGTGAAATTTGGGGGTTTTGTCTAAAATTTCATAAAATGAATTTTTGAGTTTTGAACATCGATTCGGAGTCGGATTTGAGTGAAACTAGTATGCTTGGACTCGTAATTGAATGAGTTGTCGGATTTTGTGAGTTTCATCGGGTTCTGAGGTGCGGGCCCAGATTTGATTTTTTTGTTGATTTTGGGATTGTGATTAAAGTTTTGACCTTTATCGATTGAGTTTTTTTCCTTTGCCATTATTTGATGTGTTTGAGTTGCTTTTGGATAGTTTCGAGCCATTGGGAGCTCGATACGCACGAGATGGTATTTTTGGAGCATCGCCTGGCTTGCTCGGCATTGGACTTGGCTTGTTCGAGGTAAGTAACATTTCTAAACTTGGTGCTGAGGGTATGAAACCCCGAATTACGTGTTATGTATTTGGTGTTGAGGTGATGCACATGCTAGGTGACGGACGTGTGGGCGTGTGGGCGTGCACCATGTAAATTGTGACTCCGTTATTTCTGTGGTATTGTGAAATTACATGGTCTTATTTGTAACCATGAAATCTCTACGTACTAGAGCTATTGAACTGTGATCCATGTTAGAAACCATGTCTAGGCTACATGCTTATTCCGTTGGGACCCGCTGAGGTCATTTCTGTTGTTGAGTTATTTGCTTACATTGCAATTTCATTATCAGTCATGTTCACTCATATCCTATCATATCTCAGTCTGTGTTGCTATTTATTGACACATCATATCATCATTTTTGGGCTAGTTTCATGGCATTGTGTGCTCGAGAGACTGGAGAGATTGATGACTGAAGACCTGATTGTGAGTGATATTATGGGATCGGACTGCACGCCGTAACATGTTATATTGATTTATGCCTGGATATGTCTTATTATAGCGCTTGGGCTGAAGGAGCCTCTCCGGAGTCTATACACACCCCCAGTGAGCCAGTTGATTTTTATTGAGGGATGGATCTTCTGTTGGCATGGATCTTGCCCCAATCATTTATATTTGGCGATGGATATTCCCCGGGCTGGATTGGCCTTATACAGTACTGAGTGACTGACTGATATATACACACTATATATATATATATGGGATGGATCTTCCTTGAGCTGGATTGGCCATATACAGTACTGAGTGACTGAGCGTGTTGAGTGATTGAGCATGATGAGTGGAAAGTGTGAAACTGTGATATTGAGTACTCTGAGAGTGTGATTACACGAGTTCATCTCTGAGATACATTGCATTTGACATGCACACTTGACATAAAGGCATAGAGATGCATTTTTCCTTATGTTGTACGGTATCACGTCATTCATGACTTCTCACACATATCGACATATAGGCATAGAGATGTATTTTCCTCATGTCATTTGAAAATGAAACATTTACCTGTTGAAAGCTTCTTGGGAAAATTACAGTTTTCAAACTTACTCATATTTTTGGCGATTTCGGTAAAAGATTTAGGTTTTCACTGATATACTTGAAAAGCAGGCCTATTTTATTCTGGAACTGTGAACGAGTTGAGCATTTTATCTTCGAGTTAATTCTTTTATTATTTTCATTATGTTATTATGAACTGTTGTTGGCTATTGGTGTTGGACTCCAACTTTTGTTCCAGCTCGTCAGTATTTTCAACCTAAGATTAGGTTTGTTACTTATTGAGTACATGGGGTCGGTTGTACTCATACTACATGTCTGCACCTAGCGTGCAGATTTTGGATGCTGATGTTGCTGCGTATGACGGGAGCTAGCATTGAAGACGTATCGACGTTCCAGTTACAGCTGCCTCTTGTTCATGATAGCTCTAGACTTATGAAAATCTGCCTATGTACATTCGGGCAAAGGATGTGTTTATTTCACACTAGCTTTGTAAACTCTAAATCTTAGAAGCTCGTGATTTGTACTACCAGTCCTTGGGAAATGTATAAGATTCAGATATTTTCTTTTACTTATTTGTCTTATTAAACTTCATTGGAATTGGATAGTTATTAATTGGCTTACCTAGCGGGTTGGGTAGGTGTCATCACGACTAGTTGGATTTTGGGTCGTGACAAAACTCTTCCTACTCCTTAGTATTGAAAACATACACAACTGTCATATAGAACTCGTTTTGAAGAACAACATGAGTCACTAAACATGTAATGCTTTGAGCAGTTTCACTTATATGCCTGACTTGATAGTAGTCAGGCCTCCATACTATAACCACTCGACCATTATAGTGTTGATCTAGGTTAGTGAGGTATTGCGATCCTCCAAACCTATTATCTATTACTTTCTCCATATTGCCCGCCTTAACCTTAGTCTCTAGCAAGCTTACTAGACCAATATTTTCCTTGGTACAAAGTAGTTTGACATCCTTTTGTTTGTTAGGAGCATTTAAACCCCTAACATTCCAGCATAGCATGCTATCGATCTCCTCTTGGAGACAGGATAGTACCTCCCCCATGTGATGCCTGGCTGCTCTGTGGTTGTCTGCTAGTACTGGCCTCTCTTAGAACACTGAAAGTGTTGTGACCTGCTGGTGACTGTTGCATTTGTTCCTTAGGTGATTTCCTTGTATTGTGAGGAGTTACCCAACCTTCTGAGTTCATATTTCCTTTTTTAGTTATAGCTTTTGGTGTCACATTCTCAACTCCTAGTACTAGCCTTGTATTCTCAACTCTTGGTGCTGTTAAACTTTGATTATTGTTTGCCCTGACTTTGTTTGTATCAGTTGCTTTTACTTCTTGAACAACATTCTGTTGCTTTGGAGGGGGGGGGGGGGGGTTGGTTGCTTCTTCTTCCTACATTCTTTCTCTGAATGACCATATTTGTGGCAATGCTTGCATAGTACAGGCTTCCAGTCATATTGAGTTCTCTGTTCTACAAGTGAACCTTTTTCATTCCTAAAATATACCTTGTATGGTAAGGGAGAATCCACATCTACCTCAATAAGGAGTCTAGCAAAATTGAGCCCTGTCTTATTTTCAGTGTTCCTGTCAGCCATCAGAGGCTTACCTATCATGCTACCAATCTTGCTAAGTCCTTTTGGACCCCAATACTTAAAATTCAAACCAGGTAGTTTCACCCAAATAGGTACAGTATAGAGCTCTTCCCTAGTAAATTCCATATCCTTGTGCCATTCCTTAACAATGAAAGATTTATTGTCAAATGATAGATCTCTCCCTGCAACACCTCATATTTTCCAACTGTTGTGTCAAACCTCACCAATACAATTGCATTTTTCAAGATTAAGACCTTGTTGATGTCATGTTTCCCCCATTGTCTTTGTATGTAACTGTTAAGCACATTGAAATGAGGATGTGCTCCCAGCACATAGCAGACTACGACATTCTACCGGTAATCAATATTAGATGTGGTATCCTCTAATTCGATCTCACAAATTGTTGTTTCCCCATGCTTACTTGGATTCACATACTCCAATTTGAAGCCGGCATTAGTAACTTTGGTGATGTCAAAATTTTCCCAAATCGAAGGCATAACCCTAATTTCTGATTCTTCTTCAACCTCGTTAGCCCATGATTTCCTACCAGTGGATTTTCGTATTTGATTACTTACAGAATGTTGTAGCTGTATCCCTTCCTCCCATTCCTGTACGACAATTTTTGATTTTTTCACCTTTTGCACTGTTACATTGATTCCCTCCATTAATGTTCCATTGATGTCTTCTGCAATTGCTTTATCAATTTCCAATTGTGATGGTAGTTCAACTCTGCATGGTGCCGAACCTTGATTCTCAGCCTTCTCTTTACCTTGATTTTGCTCAATTTCAACTTCACTGGCCGTCATTTTTAGGTTTTGATTGCTGCCATTAACCTCTACTATTGCATGATTTCCTTGATTTTCCCGCTTCTTCGTCTGTGTTGAGATTTGTTTACTAGTTTCCCCTTGCTTTGATCACCTTCTGAGTAGGAACCCGAGTCCTCTTCCCCATGGATGCGCACGTTAGGTTAACATGCACCGAGAGACAAACAGAGTCCTTCTTTGCTAGTGTCGATACCTCCACTAAAAGATAGTTACTTAATGCAGATTTTCAAATTAATTTACAACTTAACAATAATAGATTAGAATAATCAGATGTAAACATCGGGTGCTAAAAAATATTTCTCATAGTAAGACTTTCATTTAGACGATGGTACTAATAATTTTACGAGCATTAGTTTAGTGTAAGATGGTATAAATTTAATCCTTAACTAGTAACATTTGTGCCAAGAAGCAAAACATGTTCCTAACTTTAATATGTAACAAAATGAAGACACCATCGGGACTATGGTAGGATTACTAAGTAGAAATCCTTAATTATGGAATTGTCATAGTTGCATACTCACTCAAGTCTTTTGGCATTATGACCAAAACTAAAAGAATATGAACACCATTAGGTGGCCCTAAATCTTAAGAAAATCATACTAGATGGGCCATGGACAAAGAGGCCCAAATGAAGCAAGCCCAAGTTGAACACGAGCACAAGGCCTTGAGCATGAAACGACATCGCAACTTGCTGTGACAGCGACCCTCCGGCAGCCGTTCTTTGAGATCTCCGCGTTCACATGTATGATCTTCTTTGTATTTGCGTTCTTTTGATTCCAAAGTGCTTTGAACAGTTCTTGAAGGTCCAGTTTGATCACAAAAAAGGTATGATCATCTTTTTGTTAACTCACATACGTAATCAAGATTCTTTTTTTTATTTTAAAAAAAAAAAAAAAAATTCTCTTTTATGTATTTGACCACATTCTCGATTTGGAAGATTTTTCTTCATGTTCTTAGTTACATGACTATGAACATGTGCGATCAACTTGATAGGATGTATGATAACACAATTCTAGTGTAACTATCCATGAAATTATTTTTACTAGTTGATCATAAACTTATCATAATTTCTTCTTTCAAAACGGTCCATTAGCTCATCCAAGTATGTATGAAATGCTGTTACTTGTTATGTTTTCTGAAATTTAGCTGGAGACTGAGTATGTCTATTCATTTTCCTTTTGTGACGCTTAGTTGAGATAACTGCAAAGTGAATATGGTTGCTGCTGCTTATCACCAAGCACTACACTTCATAAGTTGCAGCACTTGTGCATCCAATGAGGGCTTCAGGAACTTATTGGTCACATCTACATATGAAGGTCTTAAAACGAAACCGATTGTCAGAAAAGAAAGTTGCAATTTGAGGCAGTTTGTAAAATGCAAAGGGCATTCACTAAATTCATCTTTATGTGCTATTAAGCCAATTTTCTCCTCATTGTTAAGTACCAAAGATTCGCGGAGATCAGTATGTGAGTACATTCCTCTCCAATAGTTCTTGACTTGTTTACATTATCATCTACCAAAAAGTGAGTGGATTCGTTAATTGTTGTGTAGTATCTGCATTCTAGTTCGTGATCTTGTTGTCCTATTTAAGTCTTCCCTGCAGCTGAATCATATTTGATCTTAATACGGCATGGAGAATCGATGTGGAACGAGAAGAACTTGTTCACTGGTTGTGTAGATGTGCCACTTACCAATAAAGGAGTAGAAGAAGCAATTGAAGCCGGTAAGAGAATCAGACACCTACCCATTGATGTTGTCTACATCTCTGCATTGATTCGTTCTCAGATGACTGCCATGCTTGCTCTAACAGAGCACCACTGCAAGAAGGTACTTCTGCTTTTTGGTCTTCGAAACAACTTGTTTTTTTAAGTATGGTCCTGCTAATTAAAGCAATGATTTGTTATAACTTAGGGTAGAGCTAAAACATTTCTTGAATTTAGTCTTTAGTTTGAAACTTCCCATACGGTTGGACCATTACAGCTGTCATCATGGTGTCTGTTCTTATGCTATTTCAAGTCCCCTTAGGATCTATTATATGTACGCCAAAACTGATCCTTTTCATGGTGAGCAATTTTGGAGGAAGTTCCCCTTATCAATTGTTACATTTATTTTGCTAATTGTTTTGAATCATTTAACCTGGTTTATGTCAATATTTCTGATTCAGAAATCAGAATCCATGAGGACACAGCTTGAATTAGCAATGTGAAATAATTATCTGGTCAGGAAATGTTCTTCCTACTTCCTGGATATTGCGATCCTTTATTGAAAAGTCTTTTTCTTAGTTATGCATGGCTTAATGTTTCCTTCCCGGTTTTTTTCTCATGTTGCAAGCTATTTGGATGGCGGTAAAACAAGATTTAGCTTCTAAAATAAACACTTCAGGAAATAAATAAATAAAAAGTGTCTCTATTGCAATATTCCGTTAAATCCTTCCACGAGATTCAAGATATGAGGTCCCTTTGGGACATCCGATAAAATTGGAACGATACAGAGATTCAAGAAATGAGACTCCCTCCTGGTTGTAGTGTAAATTGTCTCCATACTACTGAAATGTTGGTATGCCAAAGATTACGTGCTCTTTGGTCTTATATCACCAATATAATGTGCAGAAAGATATTAAAATTATCCAAGAAAAGGCCACAGTATATAGCACTTAATCCTACTTGAATTCCAGGTGCCCATTATTATACACAATGAGACTGAACAAGCCAAATTATGGAGTCAAATTTATAGTGAAGGCACTGAGATGCAATCTGTTCCTGTTATTAAAGCATGGCAACTGAATGAAAGAATGTACTTTCGCAGCTCTCATTTTGTTTTTATTCCAGTATGATGCCGTCCCTGCTTCAAATAGATGTTATTTTACAGGTACGGGGAACTTCAAGGGTATAATAAGCAGGAAACAGCTGAAAGATGCGGGAAAGAGCAAGTCTATAAATGGCGCCGAAGCTATGATGCTCAGCCACCCAACGGTGAGAGCTTGGAAATGTGCCTGCGAAGAGCTGTTACCTATTTCAAAGAGCAAGTACGCTGCTGTGATTTATAAAAAGCATAAACACATATAGAGGAGACTAGTTTCAACTGATGCAGGGCTTGAAATCATGACCTCTCATTATTGAGCATTTGCTTGCAGGTTGAACCCCAACTTTCCGGTGGAAAGAATGTAATGGTAGTAGCTCATGCAAATTCATTGAGGTCCATCCTAATGTATCTTGATAAATTGACTGCTGAGGAGGTAATGAGTATTGTCATTTTTCCCATTAGTACTATGCATTTTTTATGCATGTTAGTTGGGTTTGAATAGCTCCTTGGTAACAGGTCATCCACTTAGAACTCTCAACTGGAGTACCAATGCTTTACATATACAAAGGGAATCAGTTCATCAGGAGGGGAAGTCCCTTGGGATCTATGGAGGCTGGAGTTTATGCTTATACAGAGGTAAAATCATTTTTCTGCGTAACTATTTGGATGTCATTCTATAGGAGTTAGTTTGGTAGATAGCTTCCATTTATTTTCTGTATCCTGAAGTACTTCAGATGTCAAACTGAAAAACACACACTAGTAAATTGATAGAAAGTTCAGTTTAAGCTGACGTTATGTTATTAGCCTATTGAGATGCCACTTTTATGATGCCAAGGACACAATAGCATGACGAAAGTTTCAAACAGAGATCAAGATGCGCTTCCTTGAATTTAATGCTAAATTGAATATAGTTGATGTAATATGAAAATTGAATTATCATTGGAGGATGTCATGCAAAGAAAGTTATCAGTGTTATTGAATATTATCAAAGGCGACAAGAGTAAAAAACGCCAATGTTTGCTGAGGTTCTAAGCGCAAAGCGCACTTGAAAGTAACTAAAAAACTCTCTTCTCTCTCTTCTCTCTCAGCACACGATAGAGTACATGTGCTAACGTACGCTGGCCTGCATTGGGGAGGGGACGGCCAAGAGAACTGCAACCACGAGCCAACTAGTTGACTACGCAGGAACGAGCACTCAAAGTCCGAGGATCGAGAGCAATACGGGCGGAGAAATAGGGGAAACATCAATGGAACAGTGGTCGCCATTGTCAGCCACAAAGGAAGGTATGAAAACTCCATTGGAAAAGGTCATTAACAGTGGTAAAGTAGATTCTGAAGGTCTGATGAAACATGCAAGCCCTAGTGTTAGCAAAAATGCGATAATTGGAATGAAATCTATATAACCATTACTGGAGAATTGGGGGTAAAAGGGAATACAGAATAGGTGACTCAACCTAAAGTGAATTTGCCTACTGCGGAGGTTGAGAATGGTCAGAAACAGTGGGCAAATTTGTTCATGGGATCTAAGTTTGCAGCAAAAGGAATGGATCTGAGTTTCATTGTGCCAACTCTCAAAAATGGTGAGGTAATTGCGGAGCTCTGCAAGGAAGAAATTGAGGAGGAAACTCAGAAGTGGAAACAAGCATTAATTTTGTATGTTGTTGGAGGAGCTCCAACTATAGGAGCCATGGAAAGATATATTGCCTCAGCCTGGAACTTTGCAGCAAAGCCCAAAGTGTATTTCCACAATGATGGATATTTTGTGGTACGATTTAATCCATTGAAGATAGGGATGAAGTGTTGTATTCAGGGCCTCACATGATGAACAATAAACCTGTTATTGTTAAAGTGTGGTCTGCTGACTTTGATTTCAACAAAGAGGTTCTCCAAACTATTCCAGTATGGGTCAAGTACCCTAATTTGCCTTTGAATTGTTGGGGAAATAAGTCATTGAGTAGGATAAGTAGTGGCTTGGGAATTCCCCTATATGCTGATGCTTGCACTACTCAAGTAGATAGGATTTCCTATGCTAGAGTGTTGGTTGAGATGGATGTTACTAAAGAACTGCCTAGATCCATTAAACCTGTGCTTAAAGTGCAGGAAGCGCCGATAAAGGGCAACAAAAGATGGCACCTCCTAGAACGGAAGGAAATGCTAGTGCTAGTGTAGGAGCAATGAAAGGTGATGAGGAACAAGCAGACAATCAGTTGATACAGTCAATGTGATCAATGGATTTAATCTCCTCACAGTGTCCAAACTGCACATTAGGTTGTTGTGTTTGTCTCAGGTATTGTATTCCCTACTGCTATTATTTGGTACTACTTATCCTTTATCCCCCCCCCCCCCCCCCCGTTTTTTTTTCACTTCTTCTTCTTGTCCTTCCTGAGCCGAGGGTCTATTGGAAACAGCCTCTCTACCTCCATTAGGTAGGGGTAAGGTTTGCGTACAAACTACCCTCCCCAGACCCCACCTGTTGGGATCAAACTGGGTTTGTTGTTGTTGTTGTTGTACAGAGTCCAAACTGCAGTTAACAATGCCAAGGCAAATGGAGGAAGGAACAAGTAGATATCGAGGTAATACTGGACAGGATGGGACTGTTCAATCTCTTTTCATCCCTATATGAAACTGGTAACTTGGAACATAAGTGGACTAAATAAAGCCCCTAGACAGAAAGAGGTGAAGTGGTTCATACAAAGTAATAAAATTAATAGGATTGCACTATTGGAGCATAAAATAAAGGAGCAGAAGGCTATGCAAATAATAAGGAAAATTACCCCTGGATGGGCATGGTTAGATAACTATGAATACAGTAGTAGAGGTAGAATTTGGTTGCTGTGGGATACAAATGAAATAGACTGCATAGAGCTGGGAAGATCATCTCAACTTATAGGAAGCTGGATATGAGATTCACATTTACAGCTGTTTATGGACTACATAGTTTGGAAGATAGAAGAAGCTTATGGAGTGAACTGCCAAATCTACATTCCATACAACAAGGTCCATGGTTGATAATGGTGGGCTATAATGCCATCAGATCAGGTGAAGATAGACCAATTGGTAACCCTGTACAAGAAATAGAGATTAGAGATTTTAATGAGTTTATTGAAAGCACTGGCCTGACAGAAATGAAAACTAGTGGAAGGAACTTTACATGGACTAATGGGCACACTTATAGCAGAATTGATAGGGCTTTGATTAATGCTGAATGGATGCTGGCCATGCCACATCTAGAAGTATGGGTTATGGATCCACATTGCTCTGATCATTCACCACTGAGCAAAGTACCGGAAGAGGATGAAGATCACGTTCCTAAGCCTTTCAAATTTCTAAATCACTTGGCTGATCATGAAGGATTTATAAAGCTAATAAGTGAAGCACGTGTGAGGCCAAATGAACAGAACAATGAGGAATGTATGGCAGAAATTGAAAAGAGTGAAGCAAGCTATGAAAACTTTAAATAATGCTGAGTACAATGCAGTTGGCAATTGAATCAAAATGTGCAGACAAAAACTAAGTGATATGCAAGAACAAATGAGGATCCTGGGCAACTAGAGGCTCTAGTAGCAGAAGAGAAAGATATGAAACTACAATTGGGAAATGGTTAGGGGTGGAGGAAAGTATTATGAAACAGAAGTCAAGAGTTAAGTGGTTGAAGCTAGGAGATGCTAATACAGCATACTTCTTTGCAAACATGAAGAACAGATGCAATCAGAACAAAATCAGGAGATTAGTAAAAGGCAATGGGGATACAACACAAATAAAGCAGGGAATTGAAGAGGAAGTGACAGGGTTTTACCAGCAATTATTAGGTTCCTCAGCTAATGAGCTGCCTGCTATTAATCCAGCAATCATGAGAGATGGCCCAATGGTAAATAGAGTACAACAACTGGTGGCAGAGGTATCTAAGGAGGAAATATACCATGCTCTGAAAGGTATTAGTGACAACAAAGCTCCTGGTTGTGATGGTTTCAATGCATTATTTTTTAGGAAAGCTTGGCCTGTGATAGGAGATACAATTACAGATGCAGTAATGGAGTTCTTCTCAAGCTCAACCATATACCAACCCATAAACTGTACAACGGTAACACTTGTACCTAAGGTGAAAAATCCTTACAGAATTACTGAATACAGGCCAATATCATGTTGTACACTGCTATACGAAATTATATCTAAAGTGCTAACAAATAGACTACAAGGAGTGATGGATGGTTTGGTGGATAAAAGTCAGTCAACCTTTGTTCCTGGAAGACTGATAAATGATAACATAATATTTAGCCATGAATTAGTAAAAGGGTATGGCAGGAAAGGTGTTTCTACTAGATGCATGATGAAAGTGGACATGAAGAAGGCTTATGATTCTGTTGAATGGGGTTATTTAGAACAGGTGTTGACAAATTTGCAGCTCCCAGGAAGGTTTGTGCAATGGATCATGAGATGTGTGACAACGGTCTCATACTCCATCATCATTAATGGGTAGCCTACAATACCATTTCAAGCAAAGAAAGGATTGAGACAGGGAGATCCCCTATCCCCTTATCTATTTGTACTGGCTATCGAATATCTGACTAGGCTGCTGAAAACACTCAAGAGGGACCCTAATTTCAATTACCATCCTAAGTGTGCCAAAATGAACATAGTTTAGTTGAGCTTTGCTGATGATTTACTGCTGTTCTGCCGAGGAGATACCATATCTGTACAGTTGTTGTATAAGTGCTTTCAGGATTTCTCAAAGGCTTCAGGTTTAGTTGCTAATGCTGATAAAAGCTCTATCTTCTTTGGTGGAGTAAATGCTGACAAGCAACAGGAGATACTACAAGTCCTAGGCTTTGTAAAAGGAACATTACCAGTTAGATACTTGGGAGTGCCACTGAGTACCAAGAGATTATCATTGGTGCAATGCCAGCCCCTAATTGAAAAGATGTTAGGGAGAATCCAGTCTTAGACCTCAAGGTTTCTGTCCTATGCAGGGAGAATTCAACTAATTAAAAGTGTACTTTTCTCTATCCAAGTGTTTTGGTCCCAAGTGTTTCTGCTGCCAAAGAAGCTGATCCAATTTATTGAAAGTGTGTGTCGAAGATTTCTTTGGACTGGAGGGGTGAAAGTATCAAAGAAAGCATTATTGTCATGGGATAGGTTATGTCAACCTAAAGCAGCAGGTGGTCTAAATTTGCTTGATATAGAGGCATGGAATAAGGCGGCTATATGCAAGCTTCTATGGAACTTATGTAAGAAAAGGGATAAGATGTGGGTACAATGGATACATATATACTACAAGACGCAGAACTCATTGTGGAATATTGAACCCAAACAAGCCTCCTGGATTGTGCAGAAGGTGCTAAAAGCCAAGTAATACTTTGAGGAAGCTGGTTATACAGAGGAGGATGTAGGGGGAATGGGAAAGTTCTCCATCAAGGCTATGTATGTACAACATAGAGGTGAGTTTGCTAAAGTGTCATCGAGGAAGCTGGTATGCAAAAATGCTGGCTGCCAAAGTGGATTTTCACATTATATCTGGCTGCACATAGAAGACTATTAACTAAAGACAGATTGAGGGGATGGGGCTATGTGGAAGATACAACTTGTTCACTTTGTAACACAGAGGAGGAGACCATTGATCACTTATTTTTCAGCTGTTCTTATTCATCACGAGTATGGACAGCAATGCTACAATGGCAAGGGATTCATAGGCAAGCGATGACACGGACAAATGAGATTAAGTGGGCTGAAAGACCATACAAGGGGAGGAGCACAACAACTGAACTATACAAACTAACTCTTGCAGGCTGTCTGTCATATGGCAAGAGAAAAATGGAAGAATTTTCCAAGCAAAGCAACGATCGGCAGCAGTACTATGTAAAATAATAACACAGGATGTGCATGGTCGAAGAGCTTCTAAGTTGCGACTACAGCGAAGATTGATGGAGCTTAACTACTATCCTAATGTTCAGTTAGATGGCTTAAATAGTAGTATAGTAGTTAGTAATGAGGACAGTTAGTTGAATGGCTAAAATCTGGGGCTTATGTCCAGATTAGGCCTGAGCAAAGCATTGTAAATATTATTGGTAAATAAAAGATTTTTAATTACCAAAAAAAAAAAGTAACTAAAAAACACAAACAACAGTTATATCAACAAAGCATTTTAAAAATTACAATTAGCTGAAATATATGAAGTAAAAATCATGTCAATCAAGTCCAAAATCTATTTTTGATTTTAAATTTGGATTGAGATACAACAAGAGGTTGTGAGTTCGAGTCACACCAAGAGCAAGGTGGGGAGTTCTTGGAGGGAAGGATGCGGAGGGTCTATTGGAAACAGCCTCTCTACCCCAGGGTAGAGGTAAGGTCTGCGTACACACTACCCTCCCCAGACCCCACTAGTGGGATTATATTGGGTTGTTGTTGTTGTTGGATTGAGATACAAAAAAAAAAAAAAAAATAGCAACTTTAATATTTAATTTAGGTTTAGTATCTGATTTGCTTATGCGAAATTCTTAATTTCTTATTCTTAATCACTAACATTTTCATTCATAATGTTTCCTTTGTAATTACTATATCAGTTTGCCCGCTATATCCATTGTTTAGTCTGACCCTGCTAAAGGGAGCCCTGAGAGTGAGACCACTGAAGCGCCGCCTAAGCTGCACTTAGCTTCAGGGTTTAAGCCTACCTCAAGTGAGCCTTTACAACACAGTTATCAATGTTTTCTCCTTTTTCTCATGGCGGTAATGGAGGGTCTGATAGTAGGGAGTTGCAAAATGAGACTTCTGTGTACTGAATGGAGCAGTTGGTTAAGTGAACTGACCTTCAATGTACTTGTTTTATGCTCATTAAAAGAATTATATTATCTTCATTTTAAGGAATATTATAGCAAATGATCAAGTGAAAAAGACAACCATAAAAGTCATTATTGATACATTGCTTCAGATGATACGGCGTGTAATTATATATTACCATAGTATTGTTTGATTGTTAAACTATGATTCCACAATATTTATGTCTCTAGTTTTCCCCTATAGGAACAAAAATCTCTTCTTAGTGAAAAGATAGAAGGCCCTCCCTCCCTCCCTACAATTTATCAAAAGAAAAAGCAGAAAACTAGAAATGAGTCCTGGTATTGTTTAGAGATTACTGTGGGAAGTGAAAATAGTTAAGAACTACTCCCTCCACTCCAATTTATGTGAACCTATTTCTTTTTTGGTCCGTTCCAAAAAGAATGACCCCTTTCTAAATTTGGAAACAATTTAGCTTAAACTTCCAATTCTACGCTTAATGAGAAGCTTTTATAACCACACAAATACTCTAGACCCCTTTTTGACTCGTCAAATTCCAAAAGTCTTCATTGTTTCTTAAACTCTGTACCCAGTCAAATAGGTTCACATAAATTGGAACAGAGGGAGTAGTAAAAAGTGGACACGATTGAATTGGTATCAAACAAGATGTATAGGTAGTGTCCATTGAAAGAGAAGGGTATATAATAAGCGCTTAATTTCCTATCAGATCTTTGCCTTATGAAATAAGAGAAGCGAATATCAGACATTTAAAATCCAAGACTATCAGCAAGATCTGCGTGAATCATTTATAGAATATCCAAGTTCTCTTGACTTCCTATAGGCCTCCCATTTGGCATTCCAAGTGATGGACTTGCCTACAGACCTCATATTTTGTATTCGATGACCGATGAGTAATGCTGCATAAGCTATAGGACCACTTAGGGGCTATACGTGCGCAACAATAATCTACTAGTGTTAGACAAGTTCCTCTTAGTTAGATATCAGCGTGCGTATAATAAAGTGGTATGTTTAAGGCTGTTGAACTATATGAGTGAGTCCTTTGGTGATTGGTGGAAGGGTACTTACTGCAGCATGTATGATGTTTGTGATGAAAGGTGCAATCCTGGCACTTGATCTGCATTCGTACTTTCCCTTCTGGAGTGAGAACTTTATTTTGATGACAGCATCTCATATTGTCATTAATGGACTTCAACAAACATTTCTGTCACACCATTACCTCATCATCAATGCTTTTCTCTTTTCTGCTAGATGCACGTCTGACACGATGCATGAAGTTTGTAGAGCTATCGAGGTTTATGTAGTTTATTATCCCTTTCTGCAGAGCTTGGCCTTGTACAAGCAAAATCTGCTAGATGAAGTGCTAGATGAAGTGTCTTTGTAAGTTTTTGCCCCGAAGAAAATCTAGGATGGACGCTTAAATATCATGATGTCGCTGGAAGTGTCATTGAGGCATTTTCTGTCATCAATAACTCTGAGAAACCGGAGCCAAGATGGAAGACATTTTTATTGCAGCTACCTTATCTAACAATCAATATTTCGACCCCTCTTAATGGTTCAAGTAAGTATACCAGTGGAGATGTGACTTGTTGTGGAACGGTGGAGACCAGATCCAAAGTTGATTCTACTTAGCTGATTCTTACTATCCTCAATTGAGGAACTTTATCAATTCATTTTTGCATGTTCCTTTACAAAGTTTAATATCCAAAAGTAAACCTTGCACAAGGAAGAAAATAATTACTTCACGTCAGCGCTGAGCTGAATCCAGTGTGAATATCCCTAATGTAACTCTGCATGTCTTTCATTGGTGCACGTATACTACGTTACTATGGGCATTGTGTAATTTTGTGTTAAATTGAACTTCTTTAGTGCTTTCAATAAAATGAAAAAAAAAAAGTTGAGTTTTTAGTTTTTTTGGCAATTTTGATTGCAACCTGGAGACAGGGGCGGCCCTTCCATAAAGCAAGTAAAGCAACCGTTTTAGGTCCTATATTTGTGGAGGCCCCATTTTTTGTTACGTCTAATAGACTATGTATAAGTTTAAAAAAAAAATATTCTGTAAAGTGAAAAAGTTTAATTTTTTTCTTTGACAAATATAGAGAAGAAAGATTTGAATCTGCTCTGATTTCTACCAAGGAAATTGCACTTGAAATGAATATCGAACCGGAATTTCGTAAGAAACGTGTGATATATAGGAACTAACAATTTGATGCGAATGTTGATAATGAAATCTCAAAATCTTTCGAAGAGTCCTTTAGAGTTGATTACTTTCATACATAATAGACAAGGCTATTTTTTCACTTCAAAATAGATTTGAACAATTCAAAGCATATGAAAATATTTTTGGTTTTCTATTTGGCAGTAAAAACTAAGATCCCTAGATGTTGGAAATTTTAAAAAATATTGTTTTAAAAAAATATTGTACTATGAAGGAAAATAGTACAATTAGAAGATAACAGTTTAATTGATACATTTAACCCAATAAAAAGATTTGATTCTTTTTCAAATGCCTAAATTTCTTATGGAATAATGTTAATAACTCATGTTACCGTTGCTTCAGCGGAAAGATCACTAGATGTTGGAAATTTTAAAAAATATTGTCTTAATCTTGTTCCTTAAAGCATAATAATAAATTCGATATTGATGGTTTAAATTTATTTTCTGAATTAAAAGTATTAAGAAAAATAGTACAATTAGAATATAACGGTTTAATTGATACATTTAACCAAATAAAAAGATTTAATTCTTTTTCAAGTGCCTAAATTTCTTTTTGGAATAATGTTAATAACTCATGTTATCGTTGCTTCAGCGGAAAGAAGTTTTCAAAACTAAAATTGATTAAATCTTACCTAAGAACAACAGTGTCATAAGAAATGTTAAATGGATTAGCTATATTTCAGTTGAGAAATACTTATTAGGAGTTATTAATTATAAGAAAATCATTAATAACTTTGTATCTAAGAAAAGTTACAAAAAAAATAGACTTCAAATAAATAATATAAAAAATTTTAAAAAGTTAAGGCCCCTCATTAAGTTTGGCTTTAGGCCACAAAATGCGTCAGGCCGCCCCCGGAGAAGTCTTTTTTGAAGGACATTTGCTAGTAGTTATTTTTTACTTTGCAAACGAATTAACTCATCTGTTAAAAACAAACAAGGGAGAAAAAAGGAAAAAGAGAACAAAAATCAATCTCTCTAGTAGCAATCAATCTTTGACTTATTTCAAATGAAAAATGAGATAACTGAAAGTGAAGAACTGAGTGAAAATAGGCATACATGTAAAATATACAATGTACAACAATAATAAAGGCTAATACCAATTTTTAAAGAATTTAAATTCTATATAATGACGGTAAAACTTATTTACACAATAAGTAATTATATATAACTCTATTTAATAACATTAATTAATAACCTATAAAAAAAATGGTAATATGTTATAACATATTAAATTGTACTAATAATTACACAGTGTATTACTTAATTTATTTTCAAATAATTCATAATTCATAATCAATATGTTGAGAGAGAGTGCGTATCTGTTACGTTTGTGTATGTGCGCGTAAACTCAAATCTCCACTTCCCTATTCAATGGGTCATGAAGTACCAATCTTGTACTTAAACTAATTACATTAATTAATTACTGGGGAGGGGGGG